ATTAGTTTTCTGTTTAATCTATACAATCTCATTACTTCAACACTATTTTACTATTTCATATAATGTAATATAATATACAAATAATGCTTGCAATTGTTTGGATATGGTAGGATTTTAAAATTCTATTAACAAATTGATGGGTCATATAGAAAACTGATATATTCGTATACGACATATGGGTCTTACATTTTTATTCCATTTTGTAGCACTCGTAGTGCTAGTTGACATTTACCTTATTCCGAAAATCGTATATATATAATACTTATTGTAATTCGCTTCGTCTAGAATTATAAATTAAAGTTTTTACAAAAATTCTACAGAAGTATCAATGTATGTTTTTATAACCGTATAGGAAATGTATTCCGGTTTAATTACTTCAAAAAAAATGAACAAATGAAGTGATAATGTAAACAAGAAAGGCTCAAGAAGAGGTTCGACACATTTAACTAAATAAAAAAGGTGTTGTAATAAATATTAAAAACAAAGATTTACAATTCTTTTTTTTTTTGTTTACTCACAGTCTATATATGTCGTTTAAATTTTCATAATCGATTTTATATACCTTTAGTTTTCGGAATAATTGGTATAGTAGTGGAGAATACATTGTAACCTATAAGTGCAGTATATATTCGTATAAACTGAGACGAATCGATTTGAACACATCACATAATTCAATCAATGTTACTGATAAGCTATGTTTACAAATGGCACGAACGTTAATGACTCTTACTGGAAATTTTAAGTTCATGTGAACAGTTATAGTTCCAAATCTGTGAAGGTGATTTCATGATTTATGGTTTATTTTGCTGGTCTAAGAAATACTTTTATCATAAAGCTGTTATTGTATTATCTCAAATTAATGAATTTATGCAACTTAAATATTTAAAATAGTACTATACTTATATAGTACTTATAAATTATAAGTTAAGTTATAAATTATTAGTTATAATACATTTTCATCTACATAAGGTATGTAACCGAAACACATGTACATTTCACTGAATTTGTGAAATGCATCTACTTAATATATGTGTGTCTAGTTCTTTAACAGAATAAACCAGATAAAACAGTTCACGAACTAAAAGTGGCCATGCCCCACCACCAAACTACTATATAAAAGCATTTACTTCAAATTTAAAACTTTATTTAAATTGATTGATTTAAAACAGGCAGTCCCAATAAGTGATGTAAAAATAAGTCTTTTGGTCTTATTTAGGAACTTCGGTATTTGTCAATAAATTCTTTGAGAAATAATGATAATAATTATCGAGTAATTAGTTGTATAGATATGATAAGTTAGCTTGGTTTCATCTACTTAGAATTCTAGTGGGCGTGATGTTAAATGTTTACACTTTATACGAATCTACGGAATGCTTGAGAAGTTACATATATTTCACAGACGTCTTAATACTTCTCAATAGTCTTTTATGTCATTGATACATCATGTAACTTATAACGTTTTTATAAATAAAAAATAAATACAAGTAATAAAAGTATGTAATAGTAAAATAGTAATACAGTAGAAGCTCACAAATTAAAACTCTCACAAATTCGAATTGTCCAGAATTTAGAACTGAAAAATTTTAATACATTGTATGCACCAAAAGCTCTAAATTTAGAACTTTAGTTCTAATTTTTGAGCGAATTTTCCTTTCTGTTTTTTTTAAGTTTTGTATAAATTAGTTAGTTGATGAATGTTATTGTTCGTACTTTCTTTTAAAAAGGAAAAAAGGGGGTATTCCCCAAATGCGCACTATAATCCGCTGAGATGTAAAATTCAAATAATAATAAGACATAATTCGGTTTTAATTTGCTATCTCTTTTCTGCAATTCGCACGAATAGTTTATCTAATCAGTAGACGATTAGTAGTTAACTCTTACATCGAAACCACTCCCTTATTACATAGAATTAAATTTGATCGAATAAATTTTCTATGAATTTTTGGAATTTTACTTTTATAAACAAAACAGTTACATTGTATATTTTAATTAAATTTAATACGAAAACATCAGAGGAATATTTCCAATTAAATTTTTAATGTTTCATTTTAAGAATTTTTGTATTGATTAATTGCTTTTTCTGTTGTTGGAATATTAAATTTCGAAAGGAATTTATTTATGCAAAAATATAGTGTAAAAACCAATAGTTCTTAGTATGAGTAATACATATGTGTTACTAATATATAATTATATATAAACATGTATATGTATATTGTAACAAAATTGAAATGGTTTCATTTTCAATAATAAGTGCATATTAGTTAAAAAGAAATTGTAATATATTTAATATTGTTTCGTTAATATATGTCTGTCAGCATATACAAAAATATAAAAAACAAAATTTTAATAAATATGTATATATATATTTGCTAATATACAATTGAATATGTTTTTACAGATGTTTCCTACAGCACAGAGTTCTTTGAAAAATTACTCCTGACTTTTTCAGCGCTGTTTTTTCTATTGAATTCAGGGCCTTGAATCAGAAGATCCAGTTCATTAAAAAAATTATATATCCACGCAAATATTTTTTATGTACTTAAAATTCAAATAGAGTCTTCTTCATGACAATAATTTACAATAATATACTCGTATATATTTATTACATTTAATTATATACAGTTCTAATTGTAAAATTTTTGTTTTTATTTTCATCGGTTTGTGGATGGGGGTTAAGGATGCCATTAGATAGATTATAGTCTGTAGTCTGTTTTGACGTTTTTTAGGTGACTAGCCTTCGCCATGTCCGGGTATTGTCATTAGGCGTTATACCGTGGGCATGGAGCGAATCCAATAATTAACATTTAAGAAATGATTTAGGAAAGGATTTACTGAAGTGTAAAAATTAAAGATTGTGTTTGTTGATATTACACACCAGCATAGATATCTCCGGACCATTTCAAATAAATGTAGATCGTTTAACTTATGATGTTGTATTCCAGATATGTAGAATATGTGTTTAATCAGATTCATTTTTTATAGTTAGAAATAAATATTGTAGTAAATTTAAAAAAAAAAGTGGTACCAAAAATTTCTTTGTCTAACGAAAGGATAAGATAATTTGGGCAATTTAAGTTCTGGTTTACTGTTTTGGTATGTTTTTCAATCCCATATAACGGTTCATACTGACATTATATATTGTCCTGATGTTATTACTTATCTAGAGTGATAATTCAAAATATGTATGTATATATATTTATTGTACATATTTATATACTATTGAAAAATTCAAAAATTGTTAAGTTTTTTATTTGTTTCGTTATTTTTTATATATGTGTATATTATTATGTATTTGAATTGAAAATGTCAATTATTATCTTTTGATTTTAATAATTTGTTTCGATACAAGTACTTTTGTTATTCTTAAATAAGTGTAACTTTCCCCACATTTCATAAAAATGTTTTTAGTTGTGTTTTTGGTTTAACTAAAACTTCCACTCACTTAAGGAAGTAAATAATTAATTGTGTTACAACCTTAACAGTACCGTTAATACTCAAAATAACAACAAACTTTTTCTACATTATTTTGTTTTTTAATTAACAAATAAGGTACACAAGGTAAATTTTCTTAACCATTTTACCTGAACAAACCTTTCAACTCATACAAATCTCTTGTTTATAATTTTGTGGAATCTATGTGGAACGTCGACAGTTTCCTTGCCATATGCATACATACATATTAGCATCAAACATAACTTCAAGTGAAAAGAATGTGCTATGCCAAAGCTGTAGGTAGACATCAACCAAAGAATAAGAAAAAAACCGCAGAATTCAAATATACAATATAAAAAAATCAAATAATTAAATTTTATGAAAACTATTTTATTATGGATTGGTTGTGAATTTATTATAAATTAAACAAAATTCAATATAAAGTTTTGTGTAGTATCAAATAATTATTTTATTATAAAAAATCATCCTACCAAATATTAAAAGTATTCTCTTTACTTTCGCCGCTGCATCTTCTGACATAGTATTTCTAAAATATTGTAAAGAAATAATTAACTCTTATTTTGTCAAAGAACAAATGTCTGTTAAATAGATAGACTATCTATGCGTATTCGTATTTATACAAAATAGTAGCAATATTATATTGCGTGTTCATATGTATGTTCATTGTATTTGTGTGCTATATGTAATATAATGTAAACACTCCGTATGGATTTTTAATTTTTATAAAAAATACGAATTAAATTATAACATAATTAAAATGTTATGTTATGTTTTCATTAAAAAGATTTTAAATTAGTTTATATTGTTATTATTAAAAATAAATGTTTTTAAATATATATACAGATACATCATGTATTTAATTATTAAATTTGAAAAGCTGAATTTGTCATTTATATTAACTATACAAACTATAAGTTTGCTGGTTAAAATTTCCTAAAAGTCAAAATTCGAAAATCGTCACCAAAATCGCTTTACTGCATATATTTATTATTTTATGTTTAAAGATGAAATTCTGAAAAAATTGCTTTCGTTTTATGCGCCTACATGAAATATTTGTTTTCACACAACTTTTCATGTCTGACATTCGCAAAGAATTTTGTTTTAGGTATTTGCGAATTTTGTTTTTGTCATTAGTTTTTCTTTGCAAATTCGGTCCTATAAATTTATGTCTTCCACAGCTTTTGCCATCCACAAGCTACACGCGGTTATGAATTCACATAGACAGTGGGGAACTAAACAAAACAGAGGATCGTGCAACACGTTTATTGGATTGTAGTCAGAGAGAGAGGAATCAACGTTACCGTCGTTTGCCATTAACCTTTCGCTCACAGTACAAAATAAACTCGTGTCTGTGTGCCTTGAAACTTTGCCGTCGCATTAGTGTATAGAGTTTTTTTGTATTTTTGCAATACGCTTTGAGCTGCAAATTCGTAATGCGCTC